TGCTGATTTGCCAGTTGTTTTTCCAATTGCTATTCGTGGGTTTCGTCTCGCCGTCCTTCGCACCTTCGCGGTGCGCTTCCGTAACTGCCAATCGCCTTTACCCCTCTGGTTGTCGTGGGGGAGCACTTGGGGTTTCTGGTTTCAGAAAACACCTAATCCGGTTTGGTTCCAACCGTTTGATTCATTTGTTTTGTTTGGTTCGGGTGGTTTGGTCTGGTTTTGTCGTTTTGTTCAAATAAGTTYGCTTGTTTGTTATGGCTGAGAAGAAATCAATCGTAACTTCTGAGGTGATTCCAATGATATCAAAAATCACAGAACACAAGTTGAATGAAGCACGAATAGATTATTTGTCTAACAAGTTGGGCATGATTAACATATATGCACCAACTTGAGGGGGAGTGTTAGAGTATATATTAGTATATTTTATATTCTTGTGTTAATATTAATTTGTCCTTTACCTTCTCCTTATAGGATTAGGTCAACCTTGTATATTTGTCTATATATATATAGACTTTAATAATGAGAATACAGAACATTGGATTCTCTCCAACCTTAGTCTCTACAAGTCTGYTGTATAAAAGTGTCCATCGGGTCAATCACTGTTGCATGTCTCAAAAGATGAATTGGGTATTTGATATTAACCAGCGGGCAACTATTACCTTCCTAAATTCTCCATCGGTCCACCAAACTAAATTCGGGATTTGTGTTTCCTTGGTGAAAAGCTCTAGCTACCTCCGGCGAGAAAGAGCCGTGAATATGGACATCTTTTCCGGCCAACCATCTGTTATCTTCAAAAGAAACCACTTTGGCTTGGATGCAACTAGGGCCATCCATCAGACTGACTTCCGCCGGAATAAAACCACAATAGTTTCCTTTAACTTTAATGGCTACATCAAAACAATCTAAAAGACATGAATTACTATCATCATAATCAATAAAACCACCGAGAGCAAGTTTAATTGTTCAAGCCTGACATTACTCCGCTCAAAATCTTCATGTTTGGAAATAATATAAAAATGTTATCGAGAAAGATCAAATTCATCTTTAAAGTATTTTGTAACAGAGTCCTTTGTAGGATGTTTTAACCAAATTGCTGGACTTCAAAGCACCAAAAAAGTATTTTTAAGACCGTAGAACCAAACATCAAAAGTATTTTTTATGAAGCACTTGTAAGAAATGACCTTCTGTTCCATAACTTTGACAACTGCTTCACGAACTGCGGCTGCATCCAAACCAACATCAACATGGGATATACAGAAGGCCTTGCCATCTAAAGAAGCCACTTCTGCTGTTTCAATTGCAATTTTGACAGCTTTCTGCATATTTTCTTCAGCAAGCTTCTTCTGAACCTTCCTCACTTCATTCTATATGGAACAACAATTTTCAGGTAAGAAAGAAATACACAGTTTACTGGAGCAATCACTGCACAGTGGGTCTACAAGCAATACCTGAAGCAAGGCAATTTTAGCCCTAATTTCAACTTTTTTAGCAGCAGGAATTGGTGCTGAATCAACACGGTTTTTGAACGAAGCAACCACCTGCAGGATAGAAGTAACAAGAATTAGCTTAAGCCATTAAAATGTGGCTAGGGGTACACCCTCGAAGTAAATGACATTTTTTTTAGATGCACATTCAATGTAAACATCAATAAGAATGAGAAAATTTTTCTATTTCCTACGAGTAGCGTAGAGGATCAGACTATTAGTTCCAACGTATTCTTTTTCACGTGTGATGATCTTGAGTCACTTGTGAAACTACCAAGTTACTGAGATTTACTAATTTCTGGTGTAAAAATGCTAAATCTTTTTTATAGCCTCTCTTCCTTTTGAAGGACCTATTGTAAATGAGGTTCTCTTTTCCATTATTGGGATTCTTCTCTCTTCTTATGAGGATAACTCGTATTCTTCCCATTCTTCCCACTCTATTTCACGCATCTTTTTCTTGTTTACTAGAGTTTAGTTTCCAATATAGGAAAAAGGATGAGTGGAATTGAATGCAATGGTACTACAGAAAAATGTAACAGCAATGGCAAAACCGTCAAAAAGTAGCCTATTCAAGAACAAAATTCC